TGCCTCCGCGCTTTAAAACCCACCAGCAATCCCCCCCCCCCCCCCCCCCCCCCCCCCCCCCCCCCCCCCCCCCCCGCTGACCCCTTCCCTGGCACTCTCCATCCTTCCGGCTCTGCCTGGCGACTCCTAGAACATGCCTGTCTGTCTCAGGGCCTTGGTGCCACAGCACCCCGGACAGCCTGCCCTCCCTCTCTCCTTTCCATTTCCGGCTCAGGTGTGACCATCAGGGAAGAGCCAGGCCTTTTCCCTGATCACTCTCTCCACAGTCAGACTGCCTCCCCTCTGCTGCTCTCTTCCCGCACCAGCTGCACTCAGCCGCTTGCCTCTGATTGATTCCTTTCCTGGTCTGGGGTCTGGCGGCCCTTGCCTCTGACTGATTCCTTTCCTGGTCTGGGGTCTGGCGGCCCTGGCGGCCTCGCTCTCTGCTCTCTGCCCTGCATCCAGCACGTGCAGCAAGGATTTGCTGAATAGAGTGAATGAAAGAAAGGGGCCTTGTTGACGGCAGCCTCCCAGTGCACAGCTCCTGCCCTCGTGGCTCTTGACCTTCGCTGGGGGAGAAAGCACATATAAGAAGCATCCAGTAAGGGAAAACAGGCAACGTTTATCAGTGCCTCCTGAATGTGGACAGCCGTGTTCCAACAGCTGTCAGGGGGGCCCGGCTGAAATCGAGAAGGAAGCGCCAGTTGCTAAACCTTCCACCCACCAGGCCCTCGGCGGACTATTCACATTTGTTATCTTGTTTTATGTCACTGAATGTTCACACAGTCCTGCAGGACTAAGTCCTGGTGTCTCCACTTTGTAGATGAGGAAGCTGATCTAAGAGACCAATAACTCGCCCAAAGACATGGGGCTGGGGGCGCCAAGCCATTACTGGAACCCAGAGCTTCCTATGGCTAGGGCCCGGGCACTTTCCATAAGCCTAAGTAGGAAGGAGTAAGGTCAGGAACAGGACTCCAGGCATGGATGCGAGGTGGTGTCAGGGCACAGAGGAAAGTGATTTTATTGACTTATTTATGGTCTTTTAAGTTTTCATTTTGAAATAATTTCAGACTTGCAAAAACAGTACACAGGATCCCCCATACACCTCTCACCCAGCTCCCCTGAATGTCACGTCTTCCCTAACAACAGACAGCAAAACCGAGACGTTAACGTCCATATAAACTCTTACTGACTCTCCAGACCTTACTGAAATTTTTCCAGTTGTCCCATTAACATTCCTCTTCTGGTCTGGAATCCAGTCCTGGATATTTATGTTGTTCCAACCAATCCCTTCCTGCTGGGCATATCTGGTGTGCCGGCTCTGTAATTACAAGAACACAGCACAGAGAATGGGCAGCCCCTGCCGGCTGGCTGCCTTCCTCCCCGCGGGGACTTTTACACTTCCCGTCTGTCCCGTTCTTGGTGAGGCTTCTGGCCCAGCGGGCTCCCTCGCTTCTTGGAAATGTCACCTCCAGAGTGGCCTTCCTTGATGTCACCGTTCTCTGTTCTGTTGCCCAGTTTGGTGTTGTCATCTTGACTTGACAATATGTTTGTTATCCTGCCGGTCCCACTAGCACATAAGATGCCAGAGGGCAGTGACTCTGCCTTACTCACTCTGCCCAAAGCCGAGCCAGGCCTCACTAAATATTGTTGCATGGGTGAAAGTGGGAAGATCTGCAACAGATTTGAAAATGAAACAAAGAGGGCCAGGGTGACTCAGTCGGTTGGATGTCTGCCTTTGGCTCGGGTCGTGATCCCAGGGTTGGTCTCCCTGCACAAGTGGGGACCTGCGTCTCCCATTCCCACTGCTGCTCCCCCTGGCTGTACGCTCTATCTTTGTGAAATAAATAAATAAAATCTGAAAGAGAGAAAGAGAGAGAGAGAAAGAAAAGAAAGAAAGAAGAAAGAAACAGAGAGAAAGAAAGAAAGAGAAAGAAAGAAAGAAAGAAAGAAAGAAAGAAAGAAAGAAAGAAAGAAAAAAGAAGGAAAGAAAGAAGGAAAGAAAGAAAGAAGGAAGGAA